AAAATCTCATACCTTTGTATTTTAATAAACATCTGTCCTCCAGTCTTTTAGCCTCACCAGCCAAGAATATTTTAGCTTGTGTTCTCTAAAGTTTGTGTTTTAAAAAGTTACATTGACTTTCAAACTATGCATCTGTCTTACTTTACTCACTGCTGGAACAAAATACGCAACACCCACAACTTAGAGGAGGAAAGGTTTATTTTGGGTTACATTTCAGTCCATAGTGGCTCATTCCAAGGCTGGAGTGTGGAGAGGGGTCTGGTAGAGGAATAGCTTCCTGCCTCGTGGTGGCTGAGAAGCCGAGAAAGCCAAAGGAGAAGTCAGAAAAGGAAGCCAGCCCACAGTGATCCTCCTTTCCAGCCAGAGCTCACCACTGAACAGCAAGTCACCTACAGTGCCCCATGATCCAGTCACCTTGCAAAGCATGAGATTTTGAGAGCCATTTTAGATCTAACCAAAACGATCTCCTACCTATCAATCAGGAGTTTTTGGAATGTTACATACTCTCAATTGAGAACCTTTCTCTAGAACCATTACTTTATTTATTTATTTAATTTGTTGTTTGTTTTTTTGAGACAGGGTCTCACTATGTAGTTGAGACTGACCTGGAACTCACTATGTAGCCCAGGCTGGTCTCTCTTCCTCAGCCTCCCGAGTGCTGGGATTATGGCATTAGAACCATTACTTTAATTGGCCTATCTATCTAGAATGCAAGCTGGATTCTAGCTTTCATGAGGAGTGCCAAGGCTGAGGATGTAGCTCAGTGGTACTGGGTCCTGCCTGAGTTTGATCCGTCTGCCAGAGTTTGATCTCTGGTACTGGAAAGGAAAAAAAAAAGTCAAGTTAGAATGTGTGCTGTGGTCTTAATGACAAGTAAGTAAATCAATGTGCATCAAGCTTTGATCGGCACTCAGCCTGGCAACTTATTTAAGCCAAAAATGAGAAAATGCTGTATAGAATTTCCTGGAGTTGGTTAAGAGTTGAAGATGTACTGGCCTTTTGGTTTATCAAACAAATTAAGACATAACAGGCCTGTTGCCAGAACAGGGTCCTGTTGTGTCAACAACGTGGTCTTCATAGCCAGCAAGCAAATCTTTTCCCTCTGGCTTCAGATTTAAAGCAGGCTTTGCTTTTCCTAGGATCTAGTTATTAATATTGACTACTTAGTGCCAGATGCTCTGCTAAGTGCTTTATAACAAATGTTTACTTTCTCTCATTTAATAAACCTCAAAGTAACCCCTATTCTACAAAAGAGAAACGGCCGGTATTTAGCTCAATGGCTCCGCCTCCTGCCTCACAAGCTCAAGGTCCCAAATTCAATCCCCAGTACCAAAAAAAAAAAAAAAGAAACAGGGAGAGAGGTTCAAACATTTCCCCCAGGGCTTCTGATCTGTGCACAGCATCATCAGATTTTAGGTTCCACTGTCTTCCCGCTGGCAGCCCCAACCCAGTCCTGCTTTTGTAACATTCGGGGAGACTGAAGTGCAATAATCCCAGTTGCAAAGCCCTGGGGAATTCTTTGGAAGCTGTAAAGTTTTCCTCCTTGGATTTAGATTATTAAACCTCCTGGAAATAGTGAACTTCTCAATTAGATTTCCAAGCATTTAACTTCTTTGGAGTTGAAGTATTTATTTTATGGAAATGTTCCCTTAAATATATGAATATTACACACAATGATTTCAAGCGCTGCCTGGGGCTTCTGTTAGGTTTTCTTACTGGCCCTGTGTACTTACTCAGCTGAGCAGCAGCTTCTCAGCTTTTTAGCCACCGTGGGGTGGTCACTCCTTTTTATCAGATTTTTTTTTTAAGATTGCCTTTAAAATCTTTTTATATCTTGTCAATTTACATTTCTGAAGGATTTCCTTCCTAACAGTTAATGTTCTGACATTATAGTTACAGTGACTGTTAAATTTTAATTTATCACAGTAAAAGACACAGTGCTATGAAGTTCCACCCTCAGAATCCTTCTCATTTCGAATATACTTATACTACTGTTCTTGCCACTTTCTGAAGCAGTCTGAAAGTTGTTTTTAATGAGTATCTTTAGTTGTGCTGTCCTGGCTTAGCTCCCTGATTCAAAACGTTGACCTGCTATGGTCACTTTTGACTTTGGGGGAAAGCCAGAAGTCTCATAGTGCCCTCATTGTATTATTTTTATTTGAAAGAAATTGCCATATACATTTTAACAGTGAGGCAGCCAGGAAAAGCACTCAAAGGAATTCCAGAGCTGCTTCAGAAAGTGGCAGGATTGATGGTTTGAGTGTGTTCCAGAGTGAGGGGCATATTTTGAGGGGACTCATACAATGTGCTTTTAGTATAATAAGCATTCACTCTACATTTTGATCATACTTCATAGCTCTGGTCTCCGTGTGTTCTGACTTTGGGAAATTCTTTCAGATATCCTCAATTCTCCCTGCCTCCTCCCTAGGATGCTTGCTCTTCCTAGTTGTGTAGCCTGGATTCTGATGAGGTACTGTGCTGTGTGCAGAGGCCCATGGGACAGATCTCCCACCAGCCCGATATGTACACCCGGGGCTTGCTGCCATTCCTTCTCACTTGGCTCATTTATGTCTAAATCTCTGCTTTTCCCTGTACTTTGCTGTGTTTGAGGTCCACACTCCAGTTTTCTGTTTGTTTAGTCTCTCTACAGGTAACTTGCTTTCTGTTTGGGCTAACACATCTATAATGTGAGCATAAACTAGTCTTTACTCCATCAAAGCCATTTTGAGGGTCAGAGGGGCTTACGTGACAGCGCTTGTAGAGAACCACACTAAGCATCATCAATTTCAGTTTAATGGAGAGGTTTGTTGTAAAAATATTAACATCAGTCCTTCATTTCAAGCCATTATTTTTTTTTCCTTTTTATTGAGTTTATTGGTACAATCTAGGTATACAGTACAGTTACATTCATCATTGGGATCCTGTACCTTTACATAATAGGTCTTGATTCTCATTTTCAAGCCATTATTTTTATTAAAAATCTTGAAGTAGTTTTTAAATGTTGACAACAGTGGCATTTGCTGTGTGCCGTGTGCCCTTCATCCCTAGTCACCCTTTGGATTGTCTTGTGAACCTTATTGTCTGTAGGTGTCCTTGATTAATGTCTAACCCTGAGAGTTGTGAGTGAGCACCAAGAGCTTCCCTGTGAACGTCTCTCGTAAAGGCCTTTGGACTGACATGGCCATCAGAGTGGGTGACAGAGGGAGTAGGTGGGGGCTGTTGTATCATCCACCACATCTCACACATGTGCAGTGCAGCAGACAGCAGTTTACAGCTAGCAGGGCAGCTGCTGCGCTGCCCCACTGCTTTCTTTTGTTGTTTTTGTTTTTTGGTACCAGGATTGAACTTGGGACCTTGCGCTTGTGAGGCAGGTGGCGGAACCACTGAGCTAAATCCCCTGACCCCCCTACCCCCGCTTTCTCCAGGACCCTTAAAGGCAGCTTTTTTCCTGGCTGGCTTGGCAGGCCGAATATCCCACGGGCTTCTGGAGCCATTCTTGGTGCTGAGAATCTGGGCTGTGTTAGAGAAACAGCAGGACCCAGGGCTGCAGGGTCACTCACCTGTGGGACAGAAGTGAAACAAGATGCAGTGCCACTTCCTGTCCTCCCTGGGTGTTCAAATGGAGTGGGTGTGGCTCAGCGTGGTGCCATCCCAGCTTTAGCAGGCCTGACACTTGAGATGTCACCAGGTGATTCAACCTCTCTGTTTCCGATAAACGGGTGGGGTGGGGGGAGACTACGCGAAGCAGCAGTCGCTGCATCCAGGGACTAGAGAACAGGGTGGGAGTGGGATGGGTGCAAAGGAGAGGAATGATTATCCTAGGAAGGTGATAAGAGCTATATCTGTACACCATAGCTAAACTGCAACAAGAAAGCAGAGAGGTGTAAATGCCAGGGTGGGGGAAAGAGAAGCAGGGAGGTTGGAGGGAAAGTCACAGCCAGAAATGGAGTGTCCCTGACCTGTGTCACACCCTGGCACCACAGCCTGCTCTGCAGAAGCCTCCCGCTAAGACAGTGGTGCAAGAGCAGTAGCAGGTGCCCTGCTGACCTGGAAGGTGTGGGCATGGTCCTGCTGTCTGCACTCCATGGAGCTGTCTGGCTCAGTCTCTCCTCCCGAGCCTCCCACAGCACTCTGGGTGCTGGTGTTCAGTAAGTGTAGGAACACGGTGACTTCCTCTGCTCATGAAGCAGTTGCTGACCCTAAGCGAAAGCTAGACATCTGAGGAGGGCAGAGCGCTGAGTGTAAGAGGCCAGGCCCTGTACGACTGCTGCTTTCTGCCACCAAATAATTGTGCTAAAAATGCAAAGTTAAAAAGACTGATAGTTTTCATTTTACACTTTAGGCAAGGGAGGTTCCATAAGTCCATGGCATGTAGGAAGACTTTTGGCCCAGCACAGGCTGCCAAGCCCCAGGTGACTCCTGCCCCCTCCCCTTGGTACTGGGGATTGAACTCAGGACCTTGTGCTTGCAAGGCAGGTGGCAGAGCCACTGAGCTGAATCCCCAGCCCCCACTTAACATCTCCCGATGACCTGCTGTCCTACAAACACTGCTCAGGCCTTGCAAGGAGAGACTGAAAGGCTCCATTTAGGCTGTTCCTCAGGTCCCTGATACATGGCTGGACACTGTTAACAAGGGGTATCGCACACCTGTAGTCCTAGCAGTCAGAGGCTGGGGCAAGAGAATCGCGAATTCGAGCCCAGCCTGGATAATTTAACAAGACCTTGACTCAAAAAAAGGGTTGGGGATGAAGCCTAGTACATAGTGAAAACCTTGTCTCAAAATGAAAAAAAATGCCCTACTGCGAGAGAGGTCTTGCCTTTGGGCATCAAAATACTTTAGCAGGAAGGAAGGTGACTACTTGCTGACCAGGGGGCCCTGTGCCGAGGTCAGTACTGCACTCCCAGCGCAAGCCAGAGCCCAAGTAGCGGAGTGCTGTAGCAGCTGGAGGGCGGTGCGGCTCTTGGCTCCACCCCTGGGCGCGGGTTTAAAAAGGGAGGCAGCGAAGCATTGCCGCGAGCCTAAGCGGGAGCCGCTGGGGCTCAGTGTACACCATGGCCTGGCGGTTAGGGGGCACCTGGCTGCTGGGAGGCTGCCTGCTCTGGGCATTGTTGGCCTCCAGCGTAGCCCCGCTCACCTGGGACCTTCCGGAGCCCCGCAGCCGAGCAGGCAAGATCCGTGTGCACCCGCGAGGCAACCTCTGGGCCACCGGTAAGTCCAAGGGGACCCGGGTGAGCTCCCAGCACTTTCCCAACCCTCTGGCCACTACCAGTGCCCAAGCAGATGGGGACCTAGTGGCTTATCCGATGTAACAGATGGGGACCTCGGACCTCGAGCCCCAGACAGGACAGTGATTGTGTTAAGAGCACTCGGCACTCAAAAGGCAGAGCTGTGGCTGCAGGCAGCCGTTACCCTTTCCCCTAAGGGAGATACTGTCCTGTGTTCTGTCTGCATGCACACCATCCAGGCACCTTCCCAGCCCTTTTCTGACTCCCACCCAAGCAGGCAGGGCAGTGAGCAGAGTTCCTGCATCCCAGGCTGTCCCACCCTCTCCTAGTGCCACTGCCCCTCCACTTGCTCGAGAGAGTTGAAGTCACTGGTTTGTCACCCCAGCCCTGATGTCTTGTGGCTCAGGGATGAGGAAGGCTTCCTGTCTTCTTTCCATGAGAGCTGAATAGTGGGGAGATGGGGAACTTTCCCATGAGTAGGATTGCCACTCTGAATTCCATGTGCCTTGGCACCTTTCTAGGTCACTTCATGGGCAAGAAGAGCCTGGAGCCCCTCAGCCCATCCCTGTTGGGGACAACGCCCCACACCTCCCTGAGGGACCAGCAGCTGCAGCTGAGTCATGATCTGCTTAGGAGTCTTCTGCTGAGGAGAGCCCTGGGCATGAGCCTCGGTAGCCCAGCACCCCACACCCAGGTGAGCTGGGCCACCCCACGTCCAGGAGGGGGCCAGCCCCAAGGAAGCACCACCAGCTTTGGAAGTGGGTAGAGTTCCCTGCCAGGCCACAGAATGGGTGTGGGTGCCAGGATGCCAGGGATGCAGGCTTCCTATGTCCTGGGCCCACTTCAGAGAGGAAGCCAAGCACCCAGCAGACTCACAGAGCAGGATGTGAGGAGCAAGTTCCATCATGCAGTCACCCAGTGGATTACCCCACCCCTGCAGCAGGGCCTGTGTCCCGCCCCAGCTGTCTCCCTCTACTGTGGCCATGTCTGGGACCCTGAGGCCTAGAGAGGGAACAAGAAGTCAGTCAGCAGCCAAGACAACTCAGACTATGCTCACCTGGACCAGGGCTCGCCATTCCCTTATCTGCCTCAGGAACCTATCAGCAATCAGGGTTAGCAGCAGCTATGCTCGCCACATCCTCAGCTGGGTCATTCCTTGTTGTGGGGCTGCCCTGTGGGCTGTAGGACATTGAGAATACCCTGTTTTCTACCCACCAGATGCCAGTAGCACTTTCCCTTACCTACCAAGTCATGACAATCGCAGTTGCCTCCAAGACAGGCATAGTGGTATATGCCTGTAGACCCAGCTTCTCAGGAGGCCAAGGCAGGATTGCCTGAGCACAAGGCCAGCCTGGGCAACTTAGTGAGATCCTGTCTCTAAAATCAAAAGCAATAAAAAATGCTTCAAGACATCACCAGACATCCCTGGGGCAGAAGTCCCAAATCACTCTTGGTTATAAACCACTACTCTTGTGGGTTCAAGGACATAAAACTGGAGCCAAGCCAGAGCTAGCAGATCTGAATGGCAGCTCCTCAATTACCCGCTCCTGGCTGTCCTGTACCCCTCCCTCCACAGTACTGGCTGCTGTGTGCTGAAAACAATGTGATGAAGTAGAAGGTGGGCTCCGGCAGCAACATGCTGCAAAACCTACAGACAGTCCCTGTGTGCTTTTGAAAAGTCCCAGCACTCCAGGAGGCTAAGGCAGAAGAATCTCAAGTTTGAGCCCATCCTGGACAATTTAGTTCTGTTTTTTGTTTGTTCGTTCATTTGTTTTTTTGAGACAGGGTCTCACTATGTAGTTGAGACAGTTAAGACGGACTTAGAACTCACTATGTAGCCCAGACTGGTCTCAAACCCACAGTGATCCTCCTGCCTCAGCCTCCCAAGTGCTGGGATTACAGGCATGTGCCACCACGCCTGGCTTAGACAGTTTAGTTTTGAACAAGTCTGCCTCAAAGTAAAAAATAAAAGGGCTAGAGATGTAACTCAGTGGAGAAGCCCTGGGTTCAATCCCCAGTACTGCCAAAAAAACAAAGGTCATTTACTAGCCACACGGGTGATTCCTATATTCTCAGTATTTGAGAGTCTGAGACAGGAGGATCAAGTGTTTGAGGCCACCCTGGGTTTCACCATGAGACCATGCCTCAAAAGGAAACCAGAGGTTCCTTAACACTGTAAGCCTCATCTTCCTCATCTATAAAATGGCAACAATTATAGGCCCCTCTCCTTAATAAGCACTTTCCTGCACATGCTCCTTTGGTTTGCAGGAGTCATGCAGTCTCTGAGCTCTTGGCTGGACCTGCTGCCCATCCACCTTTGTATCCCATGCCCAGCAGAATGGATGCTGTTGGTAAAAGGCAGAGGCCTTCCTCAGTGAGGGCCAACCCCACACTGCCTGACACACAGGCCCTCAAATGTCAGGCTGGGTGCGTAAGCTTGCCAGACAGGGTCACCTCTAGGGTCAGTGATTTGAATACCAGCTAGAATCTTAGAGGAGCCATCCCCAGCTATGGGGTGGGTGCTTCAGAGAGACCCAGGTCAGAGCTTAGCAAGGGAAGCTTGGATTTCACTTCCGTTAGCTCCCTGATTGTCATGACTACCCTGCAACACTGGGGCTCTCTCTTTTCAGGGAAAACTGCCACCCCTGACTCCTCCGGGGCTTTCAGGGAGGAAGGTGGGAGAGATCCTGCCCACTTCGGGGACATAGGCCCTGGGCATGGGAGCAGCCCTTCCTCAGGTCACCTGTCCTGTTTTCCTGCAGTATAGGAGGCTCCTGGTGCACACAGCGCAGAAGAGACACCCGGAATAGGGCGGGCTCCACTCGGCTTGGATTACACCCATCTCGGCAAGTGCCTGAATGGGTCCCCAGGAGTGGCTTCATCGAGATGCATATCCCAAGCTCCATCACTGTGATTTCTGGCCCGGTCACAGGAATATCCCGATGCAGACACAAACTAAGCTTCTGCTGTCTTTCTTGCTGCCCTGGTGAAGTTGTGAATAAAGCCCTGCTCTTTACGTGGAGTGTCTGGTCCTTTCCTTCCAGACCGGTTGAGGGAGGACGGGGAACAGGCTGAAGGGCCGACTTCAGTGACACGGACAGCCTCGTGCCATGGCACCTGCTGGCACGGAGCCACTCCTGCTGCAGTGAGGCAGCAAGCAGGTGCTCCAGCCGCTGGATGCCAGGTCTCCTCTCACCTCTGCCCTCTACTGGCCCAGACAAGCGTCCTTTGTGTTTTCCTGCCGGACACCGGGCTACCGGACTTTACTTACCTCAGTTTATCCCCACCAAGTTGGTCTTTTTGATTTTGCTTTTTGAAGTACTAGGGTTTGAACTCTGGGCCTCACGCACGTGTTCTGCCACTAAGCTATATCCTGGCCCTTTTTGAAAATCTTACTTGAGACGAGGGCTCACTAACTTGCCCAGGCTGGCTTCCAATTTGCTATCCTCCTGCCGCAACAGCCTCCGGGCCATACAGCGGGTAGGGCCGGGTTGGATCCAGACTCCGCTGTCTACTTACTGTCTTCTCTGGACTTAAGTGGAGCTGCCAAAGTAAGCAAATAAAAAAGACCACCCAGCTAAATTCGAGTTTTAAGCAAACTGTTTTTCTGTATAAAATGTCCTAAAATATTCAGTTTATTTGAATTGTCCGTTTAACCTCGTGGTCCCGTATTAGTTTTGGCCTTGGAACTCTGACCTTTCTGGAGCTGCAAATACCTGATTTTAAAACTGATGGGAATTTGGTCCCTCCGGCCCTGCTTGGGGCAGACAGCGGCGTATTCCCGCGTTTCCCTTATTTTTCCCAAACTTTCCGCCTAAGAACCTGGTCCGTCCAGCCCGACGCCAAACGGAAAGCCACGCCCACGCCTCGCGAGACCTTCGCGCCTACCCGGGAAAGCTCGCGGCCGGAAGTTGGGCACCGGAAGCAAGAGTTGCCATGGAGCCCACAGAGGACTGGCTGGTGGAATCCTTGCGCTTGTAAATCGTGTGGGGCTGGGCCATGCGACCCTGGCTGGCCTGGCGTGTGGGTGGGCGGAGGGGGTGGGAGTCCTGGCAGCGGGCCGGGCCGAGGCCGAGGACTTGGGGACTGATTCCCGCCCTCTGGGAAAGGGCTCGTTCCTGCCTGCTCAAGTTTGATAAGCGAAGCCAGTGAAGGAGTCACCTCCAATGTTTGACAAAAAGTTTCCGGGTGTGGTGGCTTCTCCCTGTAACCCCGGGCTGAAGCGGGACGATCGCAGCCTGAGCGACATAGCGAGACTCTCTCAAAATTAAAAATAATGCTAAAAGGGCTTGGGATGTAGCTCAGTATGAGGACCTGGGTTCCGTCCCTAGTACCATCCAAAAATGAGAACTTGTGGAGGACACTAATAACTCAAGTAACTAATCAATTTGTGTCCCATTCTAAGTTAAACCCTGAATACAGGTCCTCACATCAGCTTAGGGAAATCTTGGAACCAGGAAGTTCCATAGATGAGAACTGAGGCCCAGGGCTCCTGACTGGCCTGGCCCTAGATGCTTGGAGGAGAGTAAAATGCTTTACAAAATGCATTACAGGACTCGGCCCCATATCTGCCTTAGTCCAAGCATGGACTTCTAACCACAGAGCCCAGCTGCCACCTCCTGGTTCTTTGTCAGCTGTGCAGTGCCTTGTGCCATGTGTTCTTATGTCCCTGTCATGCAGGTATCAAGATTTCCATGCATTTGACCTCTCAGCAGCCACTCGAGTCCTTGAATGGATTGGTGACAAAGGTATGTGTCCTGCGTGATCCTAAAGGAATCGCATTCTCTGGTGGGATTTTAAGGGCTCAACCTAAAGGGCCACTTCCTACAGTTTTGAGGGCATTTTGGTCACTTATTCCATCCTAGTGCTCCAACCGCACTTGTGTTCTTTTATTAATATCCTCCATGTCAGGTATGGTGGTGCAGACTCTGAGAAGCTGAGGCAGGAGGATTTCAGATTTAAGCCCAGCCTGTGCAGCTAAATGAGACCCTGTCTCAAAATAATAAAAAGGCTGGGGGTGTGGCTAAGTGCAAAAACTCTGGATTTAATCTCAAAGTACTGCAAAGGAAAAAAAAAATCCATCCTCTGATAAAAGGCTGCACATTAATAGGGAAAGAATTTAGCCTTGCTCTGAGGAACAGGCAGCAGTATATAGATTGACCTACAACCTTTCTAACACAGCTGCTCATTTTTTCTAGGAGTCTTCATTGCTGGCTATGAAAGCCTGAAAAAAAATGAAATTCTTCATCTAATGCTACCTCCTAGACTTTCTGTAAAGGAAAACCAGGTAACTTGAAGTAGAAATACTGAATAGATGTTGATTTTCACTTATTTATTATACATCTCTGGAGCTCTTGTCACCTATCAGGTATTGTACCAAAAGAGAGACAATGGCTGGACCTCCCCCATGGTCTAATAGCCGAGGCACCTATGCACAGAGCTAAGTACTGTAAAACATCAGGGGTCCTTCACGAAGGGGCCAGTATTCCTTTAGTAAAACTAGATTTAGGGAGCCCTTAGGCCACAGCAGGGAGTTGAAGCCCTTAGAATGGTTTAGTTTAGATCAACTAGGCAGTGATGGCTGACCTTTTAGAGCTTTCAGTGATAACGAATAGACCTCTGCAGCATGCGTGCCATAGGTGTGCCTCCACTGAACTAGAATTTAGAGAAGACAGCTAAGGACAGAGCCCCAGAGGGCACGTTTAAGGCATGGGCATAAGAAGATAAATCCACAAGAAATACGGAGAAAGCCTGGCCTTTGAAGCAGACATCTCAGAAAAGGTCAGAGATCAGGAGAAGAGAATATGTCAAGGAGAGTTGGTAGCTCCTACATGTTGCTATAGAAGCAGTCGCATAGGGGTGAAGGATTCCTTTATTAGGTCGGCAGCTGGGATGCTCTTGGTGACCTCTGCCACAGCATTTTGCTGGTGGTGGTCACAAGCCAAAGACCACAGAGGAGGGCAAATAGGAGTGGAGGGAGGGAAGAGACCAGAGCAGAAATGGATTTCAGGGAGTTGCCCTCAGCTTGATTGAATCATGAGCTATGGGGAAGCTGCCTTTAAAGGATGAGGGTGACGTGGGATGGAGAGAGGCACCGGGACAGTGCTCCTGCTTCCAGAGTCAGAGGTGAAAAGAGCTCCACTTCCAGGCAAGAGGTGAGGTCAGCAGGTCAGGGACTGGAAGGACACGCACGGGCAAGGATGAGAATGTGTGCTTCTGAATTTCACTGCTGCTTCCTTTGTTGGGGGACAGTGGCAGGGAGTGTGCTGGGCATGTACTTTACCACTGAGCCACACCCCAGCCCTCTTAAATTCTTTAAGGAAATAAAGTTTTCTCATGGGGTGACCATGGCATGGAGCTAAATTGAAGGTTTAGAGTAGAAGTAGGCAGGGCCGTGTGAAAGGATTAAGCCCAGGAGAGGCTGAGTCCTGGGAGCTGTGGCCCAAGGACCAGCTGTCCCCATGCCCCCAAGGTGCCACTAGCATGCACATTCCTAGACTTTTCCCAGACCTACAGAATTGGAACCTCAAGAAGTCCAATTCTTACTCTCTGAACCTGGAGGAATGGAAGCTACAGGCCGCCTGGCCTGTCACCCTGGGTATGGGACATGACTTTAGCAGTGCCTTGATTTCCCCTGTGCCTACAGACCCGGGCTGAGCTGTGAGGAGACGCTGCACCTCTGGCTCCCCATCTGCCCTCTGTGTCTGCCCCCCATCTCTTGCACGGAGGGCAGATGGGGATATTACTGACACGCTAAGTGGGAGCTGTTCCATTTTCCCTGTTAGAGGAGCTCCTGGGCTTCTGAAGGGAGTGGGGAGAGAAGGGCATCAGTAGCTTCCTGGTGACCCCTGCTGTGTATGAAGCTGTCCCACTCTGTGACTCCTCTGGGAAGACCTGGGGCACAGTCTTGTGTGGTGGGACAGGGGACTGTGACTGATTAGAGGCCTGGGGACAAGTGGGAACAAGGGAGCTTTGCAGGCAGGTGTGAAACCAGCACTTCCAGACAGAGGCACAAAGCCCCGCAGGGAGGAGCCTCTGTCGCCAGCAAAGTGGTGAGCGTTCTTCTGATCGGCTTCCCTTGGTATTTTAGGGCTTATTTCCAGAAAGAGATTTCACAGTGTGCCACGGGGGATTCTCCGACAGAGCTGTCCTAGAGCTAAAGCATGTGCCAGATACCAGGTATGGCCAATCTGTGATCCCACCTCTCAGGATGGGTCTCCTGCCTCCTCCTCCCTACGCCAGCCCTCAGCACAGGGACCTGTGAGAGTGCATGCACACACACAAGCATGGGTCTAGAATGTAAAGAAACCATCTCACAGCTGTTTTGATTAGAGTAACCAGCACGTCACTGGAATTGCTGTAGGGTTGGATACAGGCTAGAAGGGTACACTGTGTCTCCTGAGCTGATGGTGGGTGGTGGACTGAACCAGCTCCTTGAGGAGAGGCCGAGTGTCTGCTGTCCTCTCCGTCGTGACCACCATGGCATATGGTGGCTCCTGTGAGCTTTGGGCCTGTCCCTAAGACAGAGTGAGCCTGCTCTTCTGTCCAACGAGGGTGGTGGGTCTTGATCCTGCAGTGTGATTTCCTAGGCTGGGGAGGAGAGGGCTAGTGGGGTCCGTGGGTGAACACTAAGATGTTCTGTCCACATGGAACAGGTTGCTGGTGACCAGTGGCCTTCCGGGTTGTTACCTCCAGGTGTGGCAAGTCGAAGAAGACAGTGGTGAGTGAACTTCACTTGGTGGAGGTGGAGGCCCCCTCCCAGGGCCAAGGAAAAAGGCAGTAAGTACAGTGCTACAACTTCCTCCAGGATAGAGCTGAGCAGGTGGCTCCCAGAGCACTGCAGGACCCCTGCAGGCAGGGTAGGGGCAGAGCTCTGGAGCTCACCTCTCAGGGGAGGAGGACGTGTGCTGGTCCTGGGAAGAACTTTGAGCCACAGACCTGACTGAGCCTGCTGCCACCTCTGCATAGAGAAGTCACTCTGCTTCCCTGCAGTGGCTGGCAGAAGGATCAGGAGGTGCTAATTTTGTCCCTTGTGGGAGTGAGGGTCTGCGGGACCCAGGTAGGCAGGCACCAGACCATGCAGCTCTGGCCTGTCCCCACCCTTCATTCCTCTTTCCTGACTGCTATGATTTTGAGACAGAGGTTTCACTAAATTGCTAAATTGTCCAGTTGAGCTTGAACTGTGATCTTCTTGCCTTAGCCTCCCAGAGTGCTGGGGTTATAGGTGTGGCCCCTGACGCTAGCCACTAGAAAAGCAGTTCCTTTGTTCACTTTTTTCCTGGGGTCACTGACACCATGGACTTTGCTGTTGTTTTCCTTGTCACTTGTCCTGTGCTGTAGTCTCCAGTTGTTCCCACCCCTTACTTGTGATTGTGGTAGTGTGTTTTTTTGGGGGGGGGGCTTTTTTTTTTTTTTTGGCTTTGTTTGGTACCAGGGATCGAACTCAGGCCCTTGACCTTGTGAGGCAGGCAGCGGAACCACTGAGCCAAATCCCTGGCCATGTAGTGTATTTTTTTGTTTTGTTTTGTTTTGTTTTTTGGTACCAGGGATCAAACTCGGGATCTTGTGCTTTTGAGGCAGGCAGTGGAACCACTGAGCTAAATCCCTGGCCCTGGTAGTGTGTTTTTTAATAGTTTTATTGAGGTACTACGTTTTGTGTATCATATAATTCTCCCATTTCAAGTGTAGAGTTCAGTGATTTTATTTTAGTAAATTTACCAAGTCTGCGGCTATCTCTGTAAGTCAGTCTTGGAACATTTCCATCACCCCAGTAAGACCCATTACCCATTTACTGTCAGTCTCCTTCCCAGCAAGCACTGATCTAACGTCTTTGTAAAAATGTGCCTCAGACATTTTGTATTGTGGACTTGTACATGTGGGCTCTGTGTGCGCATTCTTTCTCTTACCATAATACTTTTGAAGTTCATCCATCCACTTAGCATGTATCAGTCACTTGTTTCTTTTTGTTTTGTTTTGTTTTTTGTTTTTATGGGGAGTACTGGGGATTGAACTTGGGTCCTTGCGCTTGCAAGGCAGGCCACCAAACCGCAGTCACTTGTTTCTTTTTATAGCTGAATAATATCCTGTTGTATGGCAAGAGTACCACATTTTTCTACCCATTCACAAGTTGATAGATCCAGTTTTTGGCCATGATCAGTAATGCTGCTGAGAACATTAATGTATGAATCTTTGTGTCACGTATGTTTTCATGTCTCTAGGATAGACACCTCACAGTGAAATTCCCGCACCATGTGGTTGTGTTTGATTTCTTAGGAAGCTTTCAAAATGACTTCTTACATTCCCACCAGCAGTGTTTGAGGGTTCCCCTATTTCCATATCCTTGTTAACATTTGTTACTGTTTAAAAATTTGTATTGCGGGGTGTGGTTGCACACACCTGTAATCCCAGCACTCAGGAGGCTGAGGCAGGAGGATTACTGCAAGTTTGAGGCCAGACTAGACTACATAGTGAGTGAGACCCTGTCTCAAAAAAATAAAATATAAATATTTATTTTGTAGTGTTAGGGATCAAACCCAGGGCCTCATATGTACTAGGCAAGTGCTCATCTCCAACCCTGTCTTTTTTATTAAAGCTGTTATCTGGGTGTGACATTGTTTGTCCTTATGGTTTCCGTTTGCATTTCCCTAATTACTAATAATGTTGAGCATCTTTTTTGTGTGTTTGTCAGCCATTTGTATATTTGGTGAAATGCCTGTTAACTTATTTACTGTTTTTTGATGGTGGTGTTCTTGTTGTTGTTTGTTTTGTGTTGAGACAGGGTCTTGCTGTGTAGTTCAGACTGAACTTGACCTCACCATACAGCCCAAGCTGGCCTCAGACTCCAGCGGTTCTCCTGCCTCAGCCTCCCAAGCGCTGGCATGCACCACTATACCTGGCTATTTCACTTTCTTAAATAGTTTTGTATAGTCTTGCAAAGGAGCACAAAAAAGTCACTTTTTAAAAAAATTCATTAGGCATGGTAGCTCATGCCTGTATTCTCAGCACTCGGGAAGCTGAGGAGGATTGCTGCAAGTTTGAGGCCAGCCTGGGCTGCATAGCAAGACCCTGTCTCAAAAAAAAAAAAAAAAAAACTTCATCTCATTTTGAGATACTTTTCTCCTTTCACAAGCTGATCTTGATAGTGAGGCCCATTCCGCTCAGGAGGAAGAATATTTTCTGTCACCACTGATGGATGTCTTCCTAAGAATTCAAAAGGGGGGCAGCACCATTTTAAAGAAATGTATCTTACTAAGCTTTCTCCTAGTTGTATTTGGCGTTACATAGTAATAATTAATCCACTTGGGCCAGGGATTTATCTCAGTGGCACCGCACCTGCCTGACAAGGGCAAAGTCCTGAGTTTGATCCCTGGTACCAAAACAATGATGATGATGATGATGATGAATCCACCTGTAGGCAAAGGAGAAATTTAAAAAACTGTCAGTGTGCTTTTGTGCCAAAGCAAGGACAGAATAACAGTATATTTGAGGCAAGGCACAAGCAAAGCAGACAGTGGATTCTGAGGGCTCTTCCGTACTGAATGAGGCACCCATTTTCTGTTCATCCTGAGAACGTGCCAACAGTGGTATCTCTCGCCAATGTTACAGCTCACTTTACATGGAGAGATGAAGTCCTCTTTCTGGTCTGAGCAGTCTCAGTGGTATTCGTGTGACACCTTCCACAGTGGAGGGCAGCGGTGGCTTGAACACATGCCATCGACAAGGCACAGGCCTGGCAGTGGGCAGGAGGTGGTGCAGTGTAGGCGTGAATGCAGGCCTCTGTGAGGTGGGAAGTGAGTCCCTCAGCTTCCTCTGCTGGCGCAGCCTCCACATCTTTTCTACATCTGCCTTCATCTGCACACACAGTGTTGGGGCTATTTTAGGAATTTCCTCAGTCTCAATTCCCTACATGTCCTTGGGTTACAGGTCGAACGTGAAATGGTCTATCAATGTCTGATTCCACAGATGGACTGGATTGTTCCTTAGCTTGTTCCTTGTTGTGGAACACAATTTTTCTTGCTACTTACTTCTGTTTCTCCCAGTCCTATCTTTTGTGATTTTTTTCCTGTTGGTGCAGAAAGCCTTCAGTTCCTGCCTCTGGAAGGTTTCCAGCTGTCTCATCAGTATGAGCAGACCTAGCAGCACTAGTAGAATCCAAAAAGTCCAAAAGTTTACCATGTAGTTGTTTAATAATAGCACTCTCTTTACTGGTCATCTGAAGCTCCTTCCTCTTCAAGCAGTTGTGCTTGCAATTTATTCAGTTCCACTACCATCTGGTTGAATTTCTGTCTTCCTTAGTTTAGTTTCAGTTGATTTTTTTTTGGACAGGGTCTCACTATATAGTCCAAGCTGGCCTCAACCCCATGTAATTCTCCTGTCTCAGCCTCCTGAGTGCTGGGGTTACAGGTGTGTACCACCATTCTGGCACAGTTGTAGTTTTTGATTTTCCTTTTCTTTCTCAAATCATATATATTAGCTTTCTGTCAATTTTTAAATCTTTGGGATTTATTATTTCTGCAAACTTGTGAACAGCCTGTATTTTAAGGATTCATTCTATACTGATATTCTTTTTTTTAAAATAAAAAATATAGAACCTGTCTGCTTTCCTTGTGTAATTAGCAGTCAAATAACCTTAGCCATAAGATACTGCCTTCAAACTAAAGATCTCTGAATCACTTCTAAAAAAAATAATGAAATTATCATTCAAGAGACTTGTCATTTCATATTAAAGCTGACTATAATTTCATTTATCTGATAAATAACTTTAAAACCTTATGAAGGAAATGCACCAAACTATACCTGTGTAAAAGTGTTGTTCAATTATGACTAATACAGTGTAATTCAATTAGAAAAATTAAGATTCTAGCCAGGCGTGGTGGTGCACGCCTATAATGCCAGCACTTGGGAGGCTGAGGCAGGAGGATCGCTGTGAGTTCAAGACCAGCCTGGGCTACATAGGGAGTTCCAGGTCAGTCTCAACTGCATAGTGATACCCTGTCTAAAACAAAACAAAACCCCCAAAAACAAGCAAACAAGATTCTAAATAAATTTCTAGAAAATTTAACAATGGTGAGAGGGTAATGAAAATTTTTCTCTACATACAATCTGATCATTAACAGACTAGCAATCTTAATTGGAATAAGGCAAAAATAGTAAAACCACACTTAGCTACACATTATCTTCTACGTCGTGCGGCATTACACCCACTGCTCAGGCGCATCAGAGCAGCTCATTAAATGTACACGATCTCCACGGCATGCATTGCATCACTGTGCAGAGACACCAGCTTCTTGGAATGCATGAAAAGGCTCAACAAGTCAAGGACTGTTAACAAAAGCCTCAATGTCCGTTTTTTTGTTTTTTGTTTTGTTTTGTTTTGTTTTGTTTTTGGTGGTACCAGGGATCGAACTCAGGACCTTGCTCTTGTCAGGCATGGTGCCACTGAGCTACATCCCCAGCATCGATGTATCTTTCTTCCTAGAACAAAGCAGAGTTGTATCTCCTGGTCATTTTAAATTTGTGAGACACCTCACTGTATATGCCTTCCTGGTAGATTCTTGTCTTACTAACCGAACGTCTCCAGTGTACCTTTACCAGTCGTGATTTTAACTTCGTAATCTTCAGCTTTAATTTGTAAGTCTCTAACTATACTTATTGTGTCCTTCTATCTGCTCTGGTCACCCTGGTCACAGAGGGCCTGCAAGAGCCAGCTGTAGGGTGGAGACCCTGGGGCGGCCAGGAGGAGTGGAAGAGAGGCAGCCGGGTGGGAGGTGACGGCTGCAGCAGGCAGGGCAAGGTTGGTGCCCCATGGAGACTAAGGGAGAAAGGTGTAATTGCTCTCGTCTGCCCAGCAGCTGCAGATGGACAGCTCGGGGGGCTGTGGTCCCAGCTGCGAAGAGGGCAGGCAGTTGGTTCACAGCCAGCACCCCCAGGAGGAACGAGGGGCCCAAGAAGGACCAGTATATCTGCCTCCTATTCAAAGTCAGCCTTTTCTCTTTCCCCATTCTTGGCAGCCCCTCACTATGTCCTTTGCCTTGGTCTCTTACGAGTTTGTCTTTTCCTTGTGGGACTGGATTGGTTCATTAGGTGTGCATTTCTAGGGGAGACCACCTCACCACGGACTGCACAAGGATAAGACCTGATTGCTTTCTTTGTCCTTTTTGCCCTACTGGAAATTGAACCCAGGACCTCAGGCATCCTAGGCAAGTTCCTTCCCCGGTTTCTTTCCTACTCCATCCAGAGCCACAGCTCTCCACACTACTTCTATGACAGTCTCCTCCTCCTTCCCTGTGGGGAACACATCACAGCTGAGCATCATCCCCTGGCTTAGACCAGCAGGTCCTGGAAGAATCCCGTCCATGCGCCTCAGAGTCCATGGAAAGGGACAAAAGGGGCCACTTAAATGTGGCCTGGAGAGCTAGGCGGACTGTGGTAGGGCAGCTGGAACTGCAGATCCACCGAGGGCCCACGCTCCCCCTGCATGCCAGCCCAGCCCTGTGTCCCCTCACACGGAGGGCCGTTGGTGTCCCTTACATTCCTCATGACTCTGACTTCTCCTGAACAGAGAAAAATAAGCAGATCTTCATTTTCTTCAGAGAGCATAGAAAGCAAATAATGAGGCCCCTCTTAAAGCAAGAAGATAAAAAGTGAGAAATACGAGTTTCCCTGTAAGTAGTACAGCAAATGGCTGTTGTGAACTGTTCAATGTAGGAAACAGGAGCAGACCAGACGCCCGCCAAGCAGGGTGACACAACGTGAAACTGAAGCATGATTCTGCTGGGGGCTGAGTATGTCTTTGTGCCATGTCTTTTTTCCAGGGGAAAAAGATGTGGATGCTTGTCCTGTTTATGTTTTAAGTCAGTGACATGTGCAATGTAACCTTTGCCAAATTTTAATAAATTGTCTGAGGGTATGGAACACATTTCTGAAGAAACACTAATTCATAAATTCTGTGCCTGTTGTTTGTAAGTGGCGTCAGCCAAGTGTTCACTCCTTTCCTCTCTTTGTTCTCCACCAATCAGAAGTCAGAACACCTTGTAGAGTTTGGAGTTGGCTACAGTGATTGTCGTTTGCAAAAGCTGTTTATAAGACAAGTTATAAAGAAATCAGTGATTCTGACAATTCTAAAAATATAAATCTGCCAAATGCAAGTCTGTAATCCTTGCACTCTGGGAAGCTGAAGCAGGAGGATTCCAAATTTGAGACCCACCTGAGCAGCTTAGTGACTTAGCAAGACCCAGTCTCAAAAAAAAGAAAAAGGACTGGGGGTGTAGCCTAATGCAAAAGTCCTAAGTTCAATCCCTAGTACCACACACACCCAAAGTAGCTATGACCCAGTGTTTGTGTCTCAGCAGTCTCTTCTGTCAACTCTCCATCCTTCCGCCCTGACCTGACTGTCCATGGGAAGAGGGCTGCTGGACTCCCATCTAAGGTTTCAAACCTGCATTAGTGTCATGGACTTCACCTCTTTCCCTTTCTCCCAGATGTCATTAAAGCCATCAGCACCATCGCCGTGCAGGAGAAAGCTGGGGGTCTGTGGCCTAGGCTAGCTGTCTTCTCCATGGTACCTAGACTCCTTCACGGCGTGCAGCTCAGCAGTCTGCAGGTAGTCGATCTGGAATCCTGGAAAACCATGTACAGCTCAGGTACCTTGGCCTTGTCCCGCTGCTCCCCACCAGCACCCACCCTCAGCCCAGCTCCCAAGGCTGAGTGGGCCCCCAGGGCTCTCACTTGGGTGGGGAGTCAGCCTAGGCCAGGGCCCACACAGCAGGTGGAGCCAGCCATGGATGTGTGGAGGGGGTGGGTGTGACAGCATCCCAGCAGCTCCCCCTCTTCCAGGCATCACTGACAGTGAGGAGCTGAGCAACCTGCAGGTCCTCGATTGCAACACCTTTGCATTCTGCTGCACCTCAGGCCGCCTGGGGCTGGTCGATACTCGCCAGTCATGGGCACCGTTGGAGAACTCCAGCCAAGGCCCTGGGTCTGGTGGCCAGAGATGGTGTGCAGAAGTAAGGAACAGGGGCCAGGGCCCTGGGCCTTGCTTTTCCAGCCTGGGTGCAGATGGACAGCTCCGTCTCCTTGATGCCCGAGATCTCTGCCACCCTGTGAGTTCAGTCCAGTGCCCAGTGTCTACACCAAGCCCTGACCCAGAGCTGTTGCGAGTGACGTGGGCCCCATGCCTGGACAACTGCCTGGCCATTTCAGGTACTGCTGAGCAGGATCCTATGTCTGTTACTTGCTCTCTGCCTTAAGGGGACAGAAGTATGATCAGGAGGGCGCCAGCAGCCCCTAAAGAAACTGGTCCTCGGAGCTGCTCACTATAACCCTTCAGCCTGTAGTGTGGCCCTTTCCATCCTGGCCACTAAGTGACCACAGCACACTGCAGCCTCTCTGGGCCCCCGGGGATTTGGGGCTCAGACAGGACCCATTGGGGAGGCAGGCAGGTAAGGTGGTACATAGGTGCCCACCAGAAAGAGAAAGAGAGGATTATGAGGTGCATATGTGCTGGGCAATGTGACAGAGCTACTGTCTAAAGGCTTCTATCCCCTGTCAAGTGGAGACAAAGCCATGTGCTGAGAAGGACCCAGGGCTGCAAGGATTGGGACTGGGGGCTGGTTGGAAAGGCAGGAAGGCTCTCCAGCCTCCATTACCTGGAAAAGTGCTAGTAGTGACTTCATACTGTGGTGGAGGTAAGAGATGCTGCCTGTCTAGGGTTAGCCTTGGGCCTGGCACACAGCAGGTGCACACAGGTGCTTATGCGACCCATGCAGGGAGTAACCACTATTGGCGTGGGCAGATGCCATGCTCCCTTGGCAGGCATCAGCCTCTGATCCTGGGGAGTCCTCTTTGGCTGCTACTAAGAAAGTGACTCAGGAGCACCCCTCTACTCTGTCTTCCTCAGGCTTTGATGGGACAGTCCAGGTCTATGATGTTTCGTCCTGGGAAGGAATGGGGAGCCGAGTGGAGCCACTCTTCACCCACAGAGGTCACATCTTCCTAGATGAAAGCAAGGGGGACACTGCTCCACTGGTCACCACCCACACCTGGCACCCTTGCAAACCCAGGACTTTGTTATCTGCAGCAAGTGATGCCTCCTTGCATGTGTGGGACTGGGTTGACCCTCGTGCCTCCTGCTGACACCAGGACTCTGAGGGGAAGGGTTGGCGCTGGGTGGCAGGGCCACTGGTACAGGTCCCTGTTGTCAGTTGTGTGACCTCAGGTGAGTCAGCCAGCCTCCCTCAGCCTCTCTTCCTATCTGTAAACTAAGCATGGTATTGACTTCCACACAGGGTTGCTAAGAAGATGCTTGTGGTGGCCCAGACCTGTAATCCCGACCACTCGGGGCTGAGGCAGGAAGATCACAAGTTTGAGGCCAGCCTGGGCAACCTAGTGACTTAGCAAGACCTTGTCTCACAGTTAAATAAAGGCCTGGCACATTTCAGAATTACTGTAAGAGAATTCGGTAGCTGCTTTTAGACCTGGGAGGCTCCCTGTCCACCCAGTATATACTGGCAGTGTTTGGTCTCTGTCTTCTTCCCAGTATCAAAGTGAGAACCAGAAGAGTTCATGACTGTAAATATGTTCCTCGAACTTTTTTACAGAAGAAAACATGCATGAGGGCCAATAAACCTAATAAAATGTCAACCCTGGTAGCAACTGAGCAAGAGCAGTAGGAAGGCTGCCATTTTTGCCTATCCAGATTGCCAGTGTTGAGCCTTCACTGCTCTCCACACCTGGTGGAGGTTTCATGCTACCCAGTGCCATGGGGCAGCAGGTTCTTCATCCAGCACTAAACAAGACCTGGTTCACTTGGGCCAGAAGGCAGGTAACCAAGGCTCTGCTAAATGAAAATTTAATTTTCCTAATCTTGGTGTCGTGCCACATGCCTATAATACTAGCACTTGGGAGGCTGAGGCAGGAAGATCATAGGCCAGCGTGAGCATTTTAACCAGTTCACTATTTCAACAAACAAAGCCAGGCGTGATGGTGCACACCTATGATCCTATCACTTAGGATACTGAGGCAAGAGGATCACCATGAATTCGAAGCCAGCCTAGGCTACAAAGTGAGTTCAAGGCCAGCCTGTACTATACAATAAGACCCTATCTCCAAAGAAAACTAATCTTTTGCAGTTACCATTAGCCATGTATACATGAGCAATATGTATATATGATGAAGTTTCTAAAAATAAAATTGCTGAGAAGGAAAAAATGGAAACAGCTTCTGTACATAGGAAGGGAGGGGACTTGGGGAAGATGGGATAAAATAAAATTTATTTTTAAGGGCCAGGGATTTAGCTCAGTAGTTCCAGCACCTGCCTTACAAGCTCAAGGGACCAAGTTCAATCCCAAGTACCAAAAAAACAAAATTATTTTTGAAATATTACTGAGGCAGAGGATATATGTATTTTTGGTTTGATAAAACACTGCCAAAGCACCCCCATACTGCCAGCTCCTGCTCCCTTGATGTCATTAGCAGCCTGTTTACCACCTGCTTGACTTATGCCTGTCTCATAAACGCAAAATCATTACTTTAGTTTCAGTTTGCACTTCTCTGACATGTGAGGTTGGGACTCTCCAGATACTTAAAATTCTGGGGGCAAATATTGCTAACAGTGCAACAGGAGAGCAGGAGCCAGCCATTGCCACCCATACCACCTACAGCCCTGAGAGCTGAGGCAGATGGCGGCCTCTGTCCCCCAGGGCAGTGGAAGACCTGAGGGATGTGTCCCTTCAGAATTACACAAACATTTCATTCTGGCGGGGCCTAGAGCAGGTATTAAAAGGATACGTGAATCTTGCTGTCATGTATAATTTCTCACTGTAGCATTTATTAAAAGGTTCTTAGGAATTTTGCTTTTGAAATTACTGATAACTAGTCTATAATGTGAGTGTTGATATTTATTTATTCACTTATTGATACTGGATATTGAACCCAGGGCCTTCACACTGAGTTTTGTCCCCAGCGCTTTCTCTTTTTTTAAGCCAAATTCTAAGTTGTTGCTATAGTTTATGTCTAGATGCCCCACCCCCAGCCTCTTTTGGTCATAAGTGCAGCTTTTTCAGAGGTGGTTGAATCTAGTGTGTGATGCTGGGATTACTAAATCAGTCCACTGATTGGTTTGCTACCACCCTAATCCCAGTAGCCTAGAGTATAAAAAGGACAGAAAGAAGCTGCTAAGGTCCCTTGTTTGCTTTGCTCCGTACCATCTACCATGAGCTGTTTCTCCTCTGTGATCCTCCTCTGCCACACCACCCTACCTTGGAGCCAGCCGACTATGGTCTGAAACCTCTACAAACTGTAAGCCAAATAAACCTTTCCTCTCTTAACTTTGGGCATCAGGTATTTTGTCTCAGCAAAGAGAAAAAGTAACTAAGACAGTTGCCAAGGCTTGCCTCGAACTTGTGATCCTCCTGATTGAACCTCCCAAATCGCTGGGATTACAGAAGTGCATCACCATGCCCATGTTGATTTTTGTTGTTGTTTTGAAATAGGGTCCTCCTATATTGCCCAGGCTGGTGTCAAACACACTGAGCTCAAGTGATCCTCCAGGGTTTCTAGAACTGTAGGCACAAACTACCACACCCAGCTTGGAAAGGAATTTTTGGGGGGGTGAACTTTTTGATAATTTCACAGTGAAGTTCGTAGTGTATTGTTACATTTTGAAGACATTTAATTTTGTCAGTTTCATGATGTGATCATGCTTAGCACTTCCTGGAGTCTCCTCAGTCATTTCCACCCTCCTCCAGAGAGATCATCATGTAGCTCTCTCCCCAGCTCAGTGCTCAGTGATGTCACGTTGATAGCTTGAAATTGGCCATGGTGGGAGTATTTACATCTCAGAAATTGGCAAATACTGCAAAGCAGAGTTGGTTTTTCCCCTGAGAGAGCTAAATCACTGGCACGCCACTGAGGAAGCTATAGTATCTCACCAAGTAATAGCAGAAGTGAGTAATTTAGAAAATAGTAGAACTGATGGATGAATTTAAAAGCTGATTTGCGGCAAAACACTGATGAAATGTGTGGCGGCCTAGGCAGGAAGCCTGAAGCATTCAGGCAGTGTTACTGTGGGGAGAGGGGAGGGCTCTGGAAGAGGCGGCCAGGGAAGCAGGTGCTCAGGAAGCTGCCATGGAAGGACAGCGGAAAGTGCTCCTGGTGAGAGCTGTGAGCCTGCTGCCGGAAGGATGCCAAAGACTGCAGGAAGTAGAGACAGCAGGCAGAATCTCCTGGGTTCCCCCACGACCCTCCAGTTCTGTTTGTCAAAGTAGGAGGATTAGACTTCAAGTGCATTAGCTTGATTTATAGTACATTTAGACGTATTTTAGAGCTTGTAATCCTGTTTGTACTCTGCCAAGAGTCATGGTCAGGCCCTGGGCCTTCTCCTAGGATTACAATCTTAAAATTAATTAGTGTGACTGTTCAGCAACACCCTGTCATGCAGATGAGAACAAAGGCCTCAGAGAAGTGATGTGGGCTGTAGATGTGAGGAAGGACCCCCATGGGTTAAGTGTTTCCCCCAGGTATGTCACCGAGGGGCATGCAGCCCAGCACAGTTTTAGGGGACAGGACCCCTTGTGCTCTCAGCTTCTTGCTATCATGAGGGGCCTGTCCCTTACCCAGCGGGCTGTAGAGGGGACTTGCAGGAGTAACCGTGACTGCACACTTCCTGACCTTAAAGTGGTTTGCAGAGCTGGGATGCTGACAGCGTAGTGATGGAGACAAGAGTGTTGGCCACACAGATCGTCCCCTCTGTGAAATGGGCCTCGTCACAGGATGGTCTCCTGAGCGGCTGAGATGGTAACTGAGACTGCAGATGAGCTCACAGTGCAGGGCCAGACACTGATCAGAGTCACTGAAGGTGCAATGATGTCACCCCACCTTCTCGGCTTAGGGACGATGTCCCTGAGTCGAGGGCACTGGAAGGCTGGAGCCCTGGAGAGGAATAAAGGAGAAGAGGCCTGTTCTGGGGTAAGGAGCAGTCATTGCAGGCAGCCAGTGGGGGGTCCCTGCTCTAGGGGAAGGGGACGGGTGGGTCATGCTCACCGCTAACACTGGCATTTGCAAGTTCTCACCTGGCCTTGTGACTTCTTCACAGACAGAGGTCTCACCCCAGTCTCTGCCCTGGGGCTTAGTCTAAACCCACCTCTCTCCCTCTGCACCACTCAGGATTCACCGGGAATGTTTCCCTACTGGGTCAGGACAAGTACCCAGAACCTGATGCCAGTGTCCGTGCCAGCTGTACATGAGAATGAGGAAAATGAGAACTAGTATTTTTGCTGACTTTTTTTTTTTTCAGTACCAGGAACTGAACTGAGGACCTTGAGCTTGCCAGGCAGGCACAGTGCCACTGATTTTTTTTTTTTTTGAGGTAGAGTCTTGCTTTGTAGTTGAAGCTTGTCTTGAACTCATTATATAGCCCAGGCTAGCCTTGAACTCAAGGCACCTCTTCCTCAGCCTCCCAAGTGCTGGGATTTGCACCACTGCTATGAATTTGTTTTTGTTTTTGTGTTGCTATGTGTTTCTTGAACACAAATTTTGGATTGCATAATTTGAATAACTAAATGTATCACCTGTTGAAGCTTTTGCAATAAGTGAACTTCATACATTCCAATTGTAGGTTTTGTTATCTTTATGTATTTATTTATTGTTTTTATTTGGTTTTGGTTTTGGTTTTAGTTTTTTTGAGACAGGGTCTCACTATGTAGTTGAGACTGACCTGGAACTCACTGTGTAGCCCAGGCTGGTCTTGCACTCACAACGATCCTCAGCCTCCCGAGTGCTGGCTCGGTGTGCACCACCATGCCCAGCTTTATTGTTTTTATTTGTTTGAGACAGGGTCTCACTATGTAGTCCAGGCTGGCCTTGAACTCATAGCAATCCTCCTGCCTCCCAAGTACTGGGATTACAAGTGTGTGTCACCATGCCCAGTGTATTTTGGAATCTTGTTCAATTCCAATGAAGTATGATGGCAAAAAGGAACCTGGTTATTTCCAAAGTCTCTTTACAATGCAGAGCTATATCCGGTAGTAACAGAATAAATTTCCACCTAACAATGTCTCACCAAAAGAGTGGGTTGATTTAATTTATTTGCTGTATTAGAGCCTGAACTTGGGGCCTCTGCAATGACCCTCCACCCATCCATCTTTTTGAGATAGGCTCTCACTAAGTCACTAAATTGCCCAGGCTGGAGTATAACTTGTCATCCTCCTGCCTCAGCTTCCCAGTGTGCTGGAACTATAGGTATGTGCCTCCATGCCTAATTAAATGAAATGATTTTAAACAATCCATATCAGTTTTGTTTTTTGACCTCATGAGAAATTCTGAACTCAAATTTCTGGAATATCTCTGAAAGTGCCTCTAACTAAAGCTCTTTGCAAAGTCTCAATGATGGCATCCTGTGAAGGGATTCTACTTTCGGAAGACAGAAACTAGGGAGAGTCTAATATAAGAGAGATGATGAGGCTGTATGAATAAGGTGTTCATTCGGTCAGTGGTCATTAAACGCTTCCCAGGTCCAAACCACAAACTGCATTCCTGCTGGGAGTGAATGGAGGTGAGGCTTTCTGAGGTGCCCTGAAAACCACTTTTAAGAAATTTTTAAAGAAAAACTCAAATGTTGAAAATGGCAACGACATGTGAAGTCCACAGCCTATCACAGTCCCTTTGACAAATGACATTTATTTGGCTAAGTTCTTCATGTTTAAAAAAAAAGCCTTATTAATAATCACACTTCTTTAGTCTAATTAGGTACTATAATATGTGTAAATTGTGCTTTGTTTCGTGATTAATACATTTCTGGAAAGCTGTCAGGAAAGAATGTAAAAGCAAACAAAGGAGACTAGAAGTGAGAAACTGTTCCATTTGTTTCCAAGCCCAATTTGTTCTGCACGTCAGAGGCCATCCAGGGACTCTGCTCCTGCATAGACCCAAATCAGCCCTCCCACAGTGTGCCCAGGATCAGGAGACACTGCCCCGGGCCCATAGAAAACCCCACTTCCACACCGGATGGACTGCCATCCAGTACACTCGGTGGTTCCGGTG